GCAGCGCCTCTACCCAGCACGGGCAGCGGGGGACGCACGGGGCCGCTGCCGCCACCGCCTCCCGCTGAGCGCCCGCCACCGCCCGTGCGTGACCCGCCGGGGCGAACAGGTAGGAGCCACCACTGGCCTGGCCCCCACGCGCCGCCTCTCGCCAAGCAGGCTCTTGTGCTCGGCCCCAGCGCGGAGCAGCCGGAGGCAGCGCCTTGCCCAGCGCAACCTGCCGAGCCACCGATGGCCCTCATGCCCAAGGGGCTCTGCAAGAGAAAACAGGGTTTTATGGGTGTCCTAGTGGCTTAAGTGACATTGTTACCTGTCACCTGCTCACTCTTGCACGCTTGGGCAGGTCTCGGCCATTTTCGTTGGTGTTGCTGTAACAAAAAGGGGATACAAAGAGGGGGTTTCCACTGCAGTCCTTACTGCAAAGAGCCCACTTTATCTAGCGTATGCTGGGTAGCAAATATTTACTTTTGGGAATAGCCCGGTTAATGGCAGTGCTGCCTTGAGTACAGGTTTGCAAAATCTGACCTGCTACGTGCTGGGGAGCATGAGCACTTAAAGCAAAATATAAATTATTTTAATAAAAGACCTATCCAGCAGTTGTCAAGTATAATCGCAGTTGTTGAGGTGTGACTGCTGTCACTTAGTGTATGTCCATTTCAAATGAGACTAAAAATAGAATTGTCTGCATAGAGTGATTTCATAATATACTTTGTCCTTCACTAATTATTGTTCATAATTTTTGAGAGCTGCACATTGTAACCCAGCTCTCCTAATACCAGATGATTTTCCTGTGCAGATGAGGGAATTACAGGGCCTGGCTGTTTGCACCTTAACATTGGGAAGGGAGAAGTTTTTTTTTAGGAACCTCCGTGGGCCTTGCCTTTCATTTAGACCTTTGGAGTAGTAATCTGGAATCACATCAAACCCATGCCATCCTGCACAGCAAGGGTGAATCTTGCAGGGTCTACCAGAGACTTTAGCCATCTGTGTTGAAGCCATGAGTTATAAATGTCAGTTCTTTTGTTCAGCACCCATTTAACACAGGCTGTAGGTCCTAGGCAGGCTTGAGAGAGAACAAGCAAAATTGTTCTGAAAGATGTGCAGTGCTTCTCACCCACAGAAACCAGTTCATGAAGGCAAGCTTGAATAGTCGGCAAAGGGGGAAAAAAAAGAACAAAACACAACTGCAGCATGTTTATTGCAACATGTTTCAGTGCTTTTTCATAGAAGCACATTACCCATTGCTCTCTTTTTCAAAATGCACATCTGTAACTAGATTTCATCAGGACAAGGAAGCATTTCATAAAAAATCTGCATAATTGCCAATTGCCCAACCATGTCAAACAGAGGCAGTGAGACCTCCTAACACCCCACACCCTCTTCCTGGTTTCCACGTGTCCTTGTTGTTGTCACCTGGCTGGATAGCAGCATGTGGGTGCCTTGGCCTTTTGTGCCTTTATTTCCTGCTTCCTTGCAGAGCAGCTCCCCTGCCCTGCCCTTGCTGCCCGCGTGCTGTGGAACGGGCCTCACATATTCGCCTTGCCTTGTCCTCCTGCCAGTTATGCAGATGCTCGGACAGTGGAAACGCAGGAGTGTGTGTGAGGTCTGTTTCCAATTTAGCGGGAGGTGGATAGGCTCCAACCCCAGCAAACCCTGGCATGCAGCAGATACGTTTATAAATGAGGGAATTGATGCCACACTGCTTAACGCTGCTGCTCCTGGGCTGGATACCCCCATCCAGCCCAGCGGACTCTGTGGAGGTGCCCTCAGCAGGCCACCCCTATGGAAAAAGAGCCTCTGTGGGAAACAGAGCTGCTCCTCTGCACCATGTCCTCTTGCCCGGCAATGGCGTATAGAAAGGAAACGGGGTTTGGTTTGACGGTGCACAGAAAGGAAGCAGGGTTCGGTTTGGACCTCTGCGGTGTCTGACTTCCAGCTGTAATTTCTGCTCACTGTGGTGAGCGTTGTTTAGAGTGGCTTAAAAGTGGCGTCAGGGGTCAGCTCCTCTCCAGCAGCTACCCTAGCTGAGGCAGACGGGTATGCGAGCATCACGGTGCCTTTCTGCTTAGATGTGCCCTGCCTGTGCTCTTCCCTGCACGTCGACATGAGCTCTTGGAGATGCCAGGAGAGCAGGGAGGCGGGTGCTGAGGGCCCCGCGTTTTCAAGGCTCCTGCTTTGGCCGAGGGGCCACACGAGCCCACCTCTCCCATCGCTAGTGGGAGGCGGTCAGCCGCCGGCGGTGGCTGACAGCAGCAGGGCAGTTCTCCCTACAGGCCGTGTCGCTGTGCTCATCTCCCTGCAGGACCCCTGCCGCCACCACCTCCCCTGAGCAGGAACGGCAGCACATCGAGGGCCTTGCCAGCAACGCCGCAGCTGCCCTCCCGGGCCGGGCTGGAGAACCAGAGAGGGGGACCGAGGCCACCGCTGCCGCCAGACCGGCCAGGCGTTGGAGCACCACCACCACCACCGCCGGCGCCCGCCATGAGGAACGGCTTCCAGGAGGCGTGCGACGGTAAGCGGGGCTCACCGCAGCGGCCTTGCCGAGAGCAAAGCTGCAGGGATGTCCACACAGGCACCGAGTCTCTGACAAAGTTAGATGGTGACTCAAAAAATAATAGCTGAAGAACAGGTAAGGGAAGAAATGGTCATAAAACTGCAGAACATGTCACTTTACTAGTGACATGTCTTCTCACTTTACTAGTGGTTATTGAAAAAAGTGAGGTTCATGATAGCCATGTTTTAAGGACTCTTAAGGCTTTTCTTTTTAATTAAGGTTTATATTTATCATGTACGGATAAGCCTCTCGGATAAATTATAAAAGGCCAAAATTGCCATTTCTATCATTTATAAGGTTAAAAAAGACAGAAGATAAAATAGTAATTAACCCTTTTAAACCTTTTTTACGCATCAGATAAGGCAGGTGGGTCACAAACACATTTTCTCCTACTTAAGTCACTTCCAGGGTTTAGAACCTGCAGCTCCTTCACATACTAGTTTGTAATTGCAACCATTAGAAGTAAAGAAAGAAAAACTGGATCTCAGAAAATAAGCACATGTTCAGCTGCTGGGAAAAACTTACTCAGCTGTTCATTATGTTATGCAATAGAATAAAACAATATTGCAAGATTGTCATGGTTGCAAAGTCCTGAAGCAACCAAGTCAGGAAATGAACAAGTTTGAGATGGCCAATATTTTCCTCCTTGAGCATCCAAATTCAAGTTGAAAACAGACCTGCAGAAAGAAATTTTTCCCATTATTTGAACTAAGAAACAGATCAGTTTTATTTATTTTTTTAAAATCCTGAAATATGTTAACAAGGTATTCCTGTGAGGTACTCATGCATTTAGCCATTTTTCACACTACTTGCATGCTAAGAGGTTCTCTGTCGTCATAAGTTTTTTCATAATGCCCCAAATATTCTTTTTCCCATATAAAAGTTGAAACCCAAAAACACTGCTTACAACTCAGATTGCTTTTAATGAGCTCTGTATATCAACAAAGTTTAAACATCAGAAAATCCTATACCCAGGAACGATATACTGTTCTGCATTAGGAAAAATTATGCATTTCTAATAGCATGCATACAGGTGTGTGTGTATATTTATATAATCAGTTGGATCTATTACACATGGAAGGGAACATAGTACTGATTTCTGTGGAATAACAGTCACTTCCCTAATCTGTGACTTTGCATTAGATTGGCTGAGTGATCAGTTAAAGTTAATTAAGGATTTTCATTCTCAAACTAACTTATAGCCTCTTCTTCCCTAACTTCTCAATAGGATGCTGCTTCTATACCTAGCTTCCTAAGCATTTTGCAATATAAATAATGTATTAAACGTGATGTTAATGTCAAAAGACTTTCTGCAACTCCATCAGAAAACCAAAACAGTAAACTCTGAGGAATATTTTTTTTCAGATGAGTGGGAAAGCAGATTTTCTTTCCATCCTATATCTGACCTACCACCTCCAGAGCCATATGTACCTGTGAACAAAAGTTATCCAAGTAAATTAGCAAGAAATGAAAGCAGAGGTAAGTTTATTCCAACTCTTGGAGTTTCAGTCTATCAGTTATGAATTTAAAAGGGTTAGTACAGCACAGAGCAGTTTCCCCAGTCAGAAGTAAACATTTGATCAGTTGAAGACAATTATAACCAGGAATAGCTTGGCTCCTTCAGTCTTAATTCTTGGGTACTGACTGGGCTTCAGACTAATAGCCCGATCTCCATTCCCCACTACACCGAAGCTATTAAATGCAGGTTTGCAGATAAAAGCCCTCTTAAAATGGACTTGATTTTTCATTTTCCATCCAGATTCACTCATGGTTCGGTTATTCTGGTGCCACGTCGTCCTTTAGTTTAATTATCCTCTTGCTTTTGTGTGTTAAAGCCCCGATATTTTTTAAGACGACAGTCATATTCCTGCTCAGCCTCTGTTTTGCTGGGCTAATTAAACAAGGATGTACTAGGCTCTTCTTTCAAGATAACATCTCAATTTCACTGATTATCAATGTTGCTTCTGTATACTGTATATTTGCATTCTGGATTTGTCTTTTCCACTCAGTGTTACGTGCTGTTCCAGCTGATGTCTCACCCATGTCTACAGCAGCATAAATACTTCCTACCTCCATTAGTGGTATCTTGCCTGATACACCCAGGGATCAATTTACTTCTTTCGCAACAAGTCACATCAGTGGCTCCATAGTTAGCCTGTAATCATCTGTACACTCAGATGTTTCTCTCTCTCTCTCTGCTGTTTCCAAATTATGAGGTTTGGAGTAGAAATTCCTGTTAGTCTGTGACCCTTCACTTTGCACTGTTGGCTTTCACCCCTTCCTATTACTCCAGAAGGAAAGGCCAAGAGATATACACGTTTATATTTATTTCCATGAGCTTGGAATGAAAACCTTCATATGGGTAATATCTTAATAGCTTTAAGCTCTTACTACATTTAAAGCTTTCATTGAAATGTGCATGTGTTCAAGCAACACTAAGACCTTATGTATTTGCATAAGATAGTAAGGCTAACAAGAGCTATCGATCCGTTCTGAAGAAGGGCCAAAGGACAGAAAGACATACGCTTTCCAAGCATAGGTGGATAGCACTCATTAAAATACAGTTGGTATACTGTTGGTTAATAAATGAACCAGCAGCTCGACACCAAACTAGTAAAATGGTTGACACAATGCAGAGTTCTTCATCAGTTATGTAATGAATAGCTTGAACTCTCACATGAAAAAAAAGCCAACAGAGTAAAACAAAACTTACTTTCTCTTTCAGGTGGCTCTGGCCGAAAAGAAAGAGGTGCTCCCCCTCTTCCGCCTATACCAAGGTGAAATGGGTTCTGGCCCAACCCTGGGCACCTTCTGTTTGAAAGTTTCCTTCGAGTCAGTTTTCCTGTCCACATCATTGGAAAGTAGCCTATCTTGCTTTATTTCTACCTTTGGCTTGTCAGCTGGAATGAACTTCATTGTCTATTACAGAAGTAATAGACACAGCTTATGAACTATAGTTGCTTAAAGCTACCAAATTTATTTGCTTATATTGCAGGCTGTCATACATACATCATGGGTATGGGGTCCAGCACTGTACCCTTGAGTCCAACAGGAGATCTGCCTTTGAATTCAATGATGCCTGGAGCAAAGCTGTCTCATTAATTTGGGGTACAGTGGCTGTATTATTTGAATGACAAAGTACAATCTATTTTCAGTCAAAAAAACAATTACCAGAGAATACTGCATAGCCAAGAGCCCTGGGTCCTTCTTTGGCCCAAATGCTTCTGCAAGCCAGTGTTCTACCACATGCTGACCAAGATTTCAACCAACATCTTTGCACCTCAACTTAGCCAAGCAAACCATATGTTAAACCATTGATAGCTCATCTTGCCCTAAGGATGGAGTGTGTCTGGCCTTATTTTTATCTGTGGAAGATCTTCCAAAGAAAAGCACAAATTAAGAATTCAGCAACATAAATATATCTTCTCTGTCTGTCCCACCTTGTTTTGTAATAGCCTTACGCTTTTAGTCACCTAATTCTTTCTACTTTGATGTGGACCAACCCACAGCCATCCATGGCCTGGATTACTGTAATGTTCTCTGCATGAGACTACATGCAAAGTTTCCTCAGAAAGCAGTGCAAATGCAGCAATTATTGCAGTTACAAGCTCCTTCTGTGAAGCCTCACTAACACCAGCGCTCTGCAGATTGCACAAGCTCTCCAGTCATTTCTTTGGTACTATTAAATCATGGGGGTTTTTACTTAAGAGGCTTCTAGGGGCTTAGCTCACGAGTCTCAGAGAGACTGTTTGACTTATGTTATACCAGAGCAACTGAGGTAAAAAAATTTATATAAATGAAAGCCCTTTGATTTAATGAAGGAGGTCTGGGGTTAGTGTATGGAAGCATCAGCTCCAAAATTTGCTGTTTTCACTCAAAATGGGAAGATTTGGCTTCTGAGTTTGCCATGAGGCCTGTCCTTTCAGCTCATGCTGACTACAGCAGAGCGCTGCCACCCTTTCATTAGTAGAAGGAAAGGTAAAATATTCTCACATTGTGACAGTCAGTTGATTTGTTTAATGGCTTTTGATTTTTGTTTTCAAGAAAAGAGTTAATTGAATTTTACAAATGGATTTAAGTAAACATAAAACCCTCTATAAATCAGAGGAAGACTACAGTTCTGGATTTGAAGTATTGCTGATTAATAGCTCTTTATTAATGGGACTTCTGAAGGTTAGCTCTGGAAAAATTCTCCCATGTCTCCTCAGCGATATCTGTTTCTTCACCTTACTTCTCAGACTCCCTACAAAGCCTGTTATCAGTGGGCATCTTTCACAAGGTATCGCTGAAAAAAAGGGAAAAAAAACAACTCAAAAAAAGTAGTCAGGTAGGTTAGGAAAATGTTTCCCTGGTGTGGGAGACATGATCCTAAGTGCACTGTGAGGCTAGAGTGAGGTCAGTCCTTGGAAATCCAGGAACTTTAGCCACAGAGAGCTTGAATCCCAAAGAAGCGTTTGTGTGTTGGATCTTCTGCATTGTCAGTTGACCATGGAGGGCCAAAACCTCCTCCTGCCTTCCAGCCAGAACTGTCCCAACGAAGAGCATGAGACAGAGTTGGATTAGGCCAGACCAAACTTAATTTGGCCTTTTTGGTATTTGTTTACAAAATCATGTTAGCTGTGAGAGCATTTGGTTATGTACCTATTTTTACATTTTTGTATCTAATGACCTACTTTAAGTTACTATTTATGGTCTTGAATCTGCAATTAAATCTGCGCAGGCGCAGGGATGTATCTAAATCTAATTGTAGGATCATGGCTGTAAGAGTTTCTTAAACAGATAGTAACGGGACCTCCGTGTGACAGGTGCACCTTGGGATCAAGCCCAGTTTAATACTGAATTTGTAAATGTTTTTTATGGATGTCACTTAAGCATATGCACTATGCAAAGTGCCAATCTCTTTGGCATACTATTATGTGAATAGAAGTCCAAATTAGATTTTTAGGATAATAACTTAAAGGATAAATTATTGTATTCATGTTATTAAGCCAAAGCACTTATAACTTTCTGAGAAATTACATTTTGAATTTAAGAATACAATATTTTCAATATGTTGACCTGCCAAAACCTTATTATTATTCAAGTAGTTATGCAGCCAAAAATCTTAGAAAACTCCAGAAGCTATACTTTTTTTTTTTTTGCAATTTATCTATTTCCAGCACGACTGTTTTACTTTGAATAAGTCAATGAAAATGCTGCGCATTGTTCTGCCAGTTCTCTGCATAATTCCAGATAAATTCTGTTTCATTTCTCAAGCAAGGTTTTCTGACCAAAAATCCTGGGCAATAACCAAAGACTTGGCAAATCAACTTCAATCTCACTTGAAAATGTGTTGTGTGAATGGCCTTCAGTTGGCATGCCAGGAAACCTGGGTTGTTTGTCTTTAAGCACTTTTTTGTACTATTGAAATCTCTTTGAAATGGATGTTTGGCATATAGAAAAATACCTTAAAAATGCAAAAAAGATACTTTTTTCTTTCATGTAACAACTTTACTATTTGTATCTTTTGCTGTAAAATTCCCTAGATTTCAGAACAATGCAGCATTTTAGCCTTCAGTATATCGCTTCATATATCCATAGCTATTTGCAATATGATCAGTATTAATGTATTTATTTCACTATGCAATGTTAAAAAAGAAGGAAAAACTCATTGAACCAGTGGTGCCTTATGACTTTTTTAGTCAGCTCTTCTGTGTCTCACTGGAAAAATCAGTAGACCTTGTTCTCCCGTGTGCTAATGCAGCGCTGTGTGCTGAGGCAGCGCTGACAGCGACGTTCACCAGCGTGGGAGCCGAGCCCTGACCTCGTAACGTGCCCGGTCATCTGGCTTGAGACTGAGTTAAGTGTGTGGAGGGACTGCTGATTGTCGTAGCAACATTCACACCTCAAACTACCTTCTTATGTCATCACTAAGACTTGCATTGTGTGACGATGGCCACAGGTGTTCATTTCTGTGTAATTCAACCTAGTAAATACAATGGGAATAACTTTTGTACCATATAACAATTATTTCTGCTCAGTATTTTTGGAAGAGAAGCACAAGTTATGTCTGCACCAGCCATTGGTAGAAGAGGTCACAGCGATTCATGTTCAGAGTGGCTACAGGAAACCCAAGCTGCGATTTGGGAAGCATGTGCTGCTGTAAAGGAGCTACTCACATACGGTTGCAAGGTTCTTCTTTAGAAGCCAGGATTTCCCAGCATTAAAAGAATCATGAGAACCAGTGGGTTTTTTTCTGCAATAGTGAACTATTGAAGAAGTTCCTTAGCTTGTCACTTAGAAAGCAGGACAGTAGCTTCTACTTGCAGCAGCAGCTGTTTATGTGCCACTTGTAGAAGTTGCGCTCTATTGGAGCAGAGGACCACAAAACCAAACTGCTATCATGTTTCACATATAGCGCAGCACAACAATTTTCTGTGCAAAGATATGCAAAAAGAAACTGTACTTTTCCCCTTGGAAGCAAAGACTAGAGTTGGGAGATGAAACTGGGAATTGCTTCAAGCAGAAGGTCAAGAGATGCAGATGGATGGTCTTTCAGCTGTGGGACTCTGGAAAGGAGAAGTGTGTTGAGTGTGCTCATGGAAGTAAAACCAGTTTGCTGAGGTCGGTGTCTGAACTAGAGTGCAGATCAAGATATATGTGCATGTACGTGGTGTCTCATTGTGATACTGTGAACACTGCTGTCTCACAGCCGTGTGTGAACAGAACCTGTTACGGCGGTACATTGATTCTGTGTAATATGTATTGTATGAGCTTTAATCTGTCGAACTGTATTACCTGAGGAACAAGGAGAATCTCTTGCATAAAGATATTCAGTAACACGTTAAATGTAGCTAGTTCAGGGGGTATTTCCTCATGTACGTCAGCAGAAAATGGTGGCCCTTTTGGCTGTAAGGTGACACTGTGCAGGCTAGTTAATGCGTAAATGTGGAGCATTGGCAAGCACTGGAGCGCTCGAGGCATTCAGCAGAAGCAGGACACGCATACATGTGCTTAGTTGCCGAGTATGCAGTTAGGTAGACGGGTTAGGAGAGAAAAAAATGGAAATGGCATGTCTTAAGAAAGGGAGTAATGCACTTCAGTATGTTGCGCTTTTGAGCTACAGATTGTCTGGGATAAATGATCATCAAGTAATACATACAAAGGAAGACACTTTAAGTTTGGACTTCTAAAGCCGTTTGACTATGAAAAGGAGTGGAACAGAACCTAAAAGCCAGGTTGAACAAAGTAACATGTTTTTATCAGATGCTTAAAGTTCGAGCTTTTTATAAAATAATAGTCTAGTTCTGTGGATATTTTTCTGCTTAACATTTATTTTATATGTGTTTTTTTCTCCTTATTTTTCTGTCCTATGCCAAATAAATTTTACTTTTATTTAATTGGTGGTGTAGACTGTTACGCTGAAAACAGCCACAGTCGCTTCCTTGGGGGAACCGAGGTCAGCTTGAGGAGTGCGACGGCGATGCCGGTGGCAGCGCGGCGGCCGCTTCTCCGCTCCGAGTGCCCTTCCTTGGCAGTGCAGGGGAGGGATGCAGAGGACGTCAGGCTTCTGTGCTGTGGTGGTGAGACACTCATAGACAGAGAAATGATGAGTTTAGCTTTAGGATAAAGAATCCTAATCAGTGATTCTGCCCTTATAGATAGTGGTTTTTCCTACAGCTCTTTGGTGAGCAGTGGGTGTAGACGCTAGGTCTTAGTGCACATATTCTCCTCAGAGATAAGAAACATCAATTGAGACCCTTGGGGTAGCTCACAACGTCTTCCAAAGAGAGGCATCTATCCCACCAAGACCTGAGCAGCAGGTTTACCCTTACACAGGTGGTGGATCCTCTGACACGGGTGGAGGCTGCTTGTTACTGCTTCCATTTTACCAGGCTGGCTGGGGAGGAGGCCTTCACCCCTCCAAAAGGCCACAGGCAGCTGTGGCTCATCTGCAACCTATAAACCACCCCCCCAGCCCAGGTGCTGGGGCTGCACAAGCCGGAGGAGGCAGGAAC